GGAAATCATGACTTTTGATAATCTACACAATGCATAATACCACATGACTTCTTCGTTATGGTACAGAATTGAAATTAATTGTTTATCTACAAAATAAATTGTAACGATTGTAATCATTTGTGGGAAAATCATTACACGTTAAATCACTACTGGAGACATTTGTTTAGACGATTCGGTATTAAAATATCGATCATGTGTCGGAACCTCACCTATATAATATCGATTAGTCGCGTCGGCATCTCCGGGCATTTCTCTAGGCAACATAGTAACACTCTGTTCCGCATTTCAATTGTCTAGTGGGTGGACTATGATAGTAGAATGATGCATATCTAAGTAGCTTCGATAGAAGAGAAATCTCTTGTGATGAATAATGAGGAATGGCGCTGCGCTTGAAGAACATGGGAAGGCAAACCTCGGAAACTGTATACGTCCTTTGAGTTTACCGGGGTATCTCTAACCATAGACAAATAGAATTAAATATAGCAGTGCTGAAGTTAGCATAAGTTCTGGCGTCCACAGCTAGGAGCACTGTGTAGTTAAAACGCACGCTACGTAACTGAACGACACTCCTAGCGGTGGACGCCAGAACTTATGCTAACCGCATCACTGCAGTCGGTCTATATTTAATTATATTTGTCTATGCTCCAAACCAACCGTTTGGGGTTGCCTGTCACTATTAGTATGCCAATGAGTGGGAACAAGGGTCAGATTTTTTTCTTATAAATCCTACCTTGCGTTTGCTTCCACGGTTCATTCAAGCATACTTAGGTTTTTTACAAGTAAAATCTATCTATAACTGAGTCTTGCTTACGAAAATTCAGTAAATAAATAAGGTCTATCAAAGTCATTAACAATAATAATAAATTAAAAAAAAACTACAAACTTTAACGGTTTGAACGAACAATATAAACATTTTGAGCTAAAACAATTATGAATGACAGAAGGTAGAAAACCAACAATGTTGTGCAATAAATAGATTAAAAATAATCCTCCTAATATTACCTAAACAAACTACCATTTAAGGCTTACCCTTCATGTGTAGAGTTCTTAACCTGATATTATTTAGAACTCAAATTCTTTGAGTGAGACTTCAAAATTGCAAAATATACCTAAGAAGACATAAATGCATAAAAGAATAATAAATGCTAAGAAGACATAGAAAAAAAATTAAGTAATGAGTGCCTCAATTTTCATTTATTCTTCCGTTGAGTTTTGTTATTTTTACTGGTCGTTAAAAAGTATTTCAATCAAGTAGATCAAAACTGTTAGTTGATCACTATTTTACCCAATCATGCTTTTTAATGTACATTTATTGATTCTCATCCAGACACCTTTGATCAAAACCCGTTACCTCTAACTGTAAAAACATTCTGTAGTGTCCGAATAAATATTTGTCAATGTCATCTTTACTTCGCTCTTTAGGTCTTATCTGCGGATAAACATCCTTTCCTTCGTTTCCTGCTCAACCAAAACAATCACCAAGACCACGTTCTTGTTTGGAGAAAAAATAAGATCAGATAATATTAGCTAAATATTAGCCTCTTAAAAATATATTTAATGTTTACTTTTCACGTTTGATACACAAACAGACATATGTTGAATAATTTGTTATATTGTTTCATTTGTTAAATTTAATAAAAATCTAGGTACTGTTGGTAAATGAGAACAAAAACTAAATCGGGTCTGAAACAAATACGTTTTAAAGTTCATGCGTGGAAAGTCCTTCAAAACAGAATACTGTTGCAGAAATATTACTTGTAAAAAATACAGGCTAACAGTTTAAACAAAATCTATCTTGCTAATAACCCCAATTATCTTTCCATTTCTTTATTGTATGTGACTGAGCGGTAACAACAAAGAAAAAACTAAACAACGTTAAGTTGTCCCAAAACTCAAAATTTTGCTCTCTTTTCCATTGCACCCAAATGTTCAACCTCTTGATCGTCCAACGCTTTCTCAAACCAACCACATATTATTAAACACGCTGATCTTCTAATACCCTTCCTCATATCACCTAGATATTTAACTCCCTTAACTGAAGCACCCATAACATATCATTAAAGGTTTGCCATATCATTAGAGTATACTTTTTAGAGTATATTAAAGGATATTTTCACCATATCAAAATTTCAAATATTATATTTTTCCCCATTTCCCCCAAACATTAGATCCGTTCACATTCCTATACCTTTCCTCAATTTACCCATATAAAGTATTATACAACCCATTCTACTGAAATCTTTTCTCCTCATCCAACTATGAAATCCCCGTATATTCTAATGCCTTTCAGACAAATAGTAAACATCCTGTTTATCTAATACCTTTCCCAATATTCATCCTTATCCCCGAATACCTTTGGTCGCGAATCAATTGCGCAAAATTTCCCTTAATTGCGCCAAGCCTTCAAAGGGTCCCAACAAATGTTCCTTAGTTGCTCCAAGCCCTAGCCAGGTAGGGGTGAGTTGCCGGCAGAAGGAATACCCTTGTTTACGTGTGATCCTAACCTAACATAACTTAATCTATACAGTCAAAGAGGGCCGCCACTCGGTGCAGTAATGAACGTATCGGGTGGCTCCCTGGAGTAGTTGGCGCAATTGACGAATACCCGACTACCTGACTCAGTTCTGTTTTAGCGCACACCCATTCCGTTTTCCACACTATTCACCCTCATACTAATCTTATCTCCTAACCCTACCAACAACTGCAGTCTCTTCACCCCAGATAGGATCGTCTGCACAGGTTCCTGCACGTATTGCTGTTATCGCTAGCGTGCAGACTAGTTAGTTACCCAGGCTGTCGCTAGTCGCTAGATCGCTACCGCTCACGCGTCACGTGTTGGGTGCGTTACCGTTGGTTCCGTGTTGCTATCGGAATGCTAAGTAGTGTTACACGCTCGGTTACGGTATGTTGACTGAACGTGGTTCGGGCACTGTGTGAACTTGTGAATTAGACTTGATTCTAGGAAGCGGAGTTGTGAAATCAGTGAGACTGTTGAACTTTTTAGGTTGGATTGGCTATGCGAGCTACGGTGCAAATATGCCTGCTGGTCAGATGGTTTGTAAAATTTGTTAAACATATTTGCCACCAAGCCTGATATTTGAATATATAATAGGTTACGTACCTTGGTCCGTCTTCAGTCTATGATTGACTAGTTTTGGGTACACAGACCCACTATCAAATCCTTTAAAACATCGTGTAGAAGATGGTCAAAAATCCGACGGAAGTCTTCTATATATCGATGAATACTTCCGTCGGAATGTTGACCATCTTCTACACGATGTTTTAAGGGATTAGATAATGGATCTTTGTACCCGAAACTAGCCATCCATAGACTAAAATAAGACTGAAGACGGACCAAGGTACGTACGTACAATTTTTTTACAAAGCCGAGACAGTTTTTTTTACAAAGCCGAGACAGTTCGATAGTGTTTGCGTTCTTCTGGAACAAACAAACGGACATAGGCTACAGAAATTGTTTTCGTATACGTATAATGGACTTAGGTGGTAACAACACATCTTTAGCCATTAGCAACTTCGATGCACAAAAAAAGTAAAATAAAATAAATAAATCGGACGGCTTCCATGACATGGTACTATTCACAATCGATTCTCTACAGAAAAATTGCCATCTTACATTTTAAGCATAGTGCTCTACCCAATTTAGAAAAGTCAAAGTGTACCGTGAAAAAAAGAAGGGTTTGCTTCCATTACCATAAATATCCCCTAACCATCCCAAAGACTACTGTATGCTTAGGGGAATTTTTTTTAAATGTTTCTTGACTCTCATAGTTTTCGAAAAACCTCACAAAAATATGACTAACTGTACTTAAAAAATCTTCAGTACAGTAAAATACAGGATAAATTATGTCCCAGACGCAGACGTTTGTTGACCCTTTCCCAACCCTGACCTCACAGAGACCAGTGAGTCAGTCAAGATCAAGGAGGCTACATCCAATTGATAATGACTGAGAGATTTAGAGGCCGCTATTGTCTACCGTCCTTCAACTTCTGACAAAGACTTCATCAGTGTCTTGTCTCGTGGTCCAGTTACAATAACACTTCTTGGAACCCGTGCAGGAGGTCACTAATTGATCTATTGATTTATTTTTTGATTATGGTGTAAGATAACATTTAGATAAGTCAAGGTGATCTTGAGTAATTACTGCTTTACGTCTCACATATTCAGGATGGATAGGATGAAGATTTGCCGACGGTAAAATGCGCCTTTAATGCGTGCATTAACTGCGCCAAAGAGTACCTTAATTGCGCCAAGCCCTCTAAGGGCCCCAAAAATGTTTCTGTTGCGCCAAGCCCAAGCCAGGTAGGGGTGAGTTTCCGGCAGAAGGAATAAATTTGTTTGCGTGTCATCCTAACCTAACCTAACCTGGGGAGCGAGCTGGCGTAGTGGTTAGAGCGCGGGACTTCAGTCCCTGAGGTCCCGGGTTCGATCCCCGCCAAGTCACCAATGGATTTTATCTAAGTGATAATGCTGCAACCCCTAGGTCTAGCCTGAAGTAATGTGAAAAACAATCCCAGGCTCGTGCCTAGCGTCCTAGGACAAAAAAAAACCTAACCTAACCTAACCTATTCAATTGTATAGTCAAAGAGGGCCGCCACTTGGGACCCCGTTAATGAACTCGTCGGGTATCTCTTTAGAGTAATATTGGTGCAATTCAGGAATACCCGACTACCTGACTCCGGTCAGTTGGCGCCATTGATGTCATTATTAAACGTAAACATATTTGTTTCAGTGTTTTGATGATAGTCCCATAGAAATAAGCACTTAAAGAACCATGACATTTATACATTATGTAAATAAGAGTAAAAATAATTATTGAAAAAAAAAATAGTTTCTTCTTTATCAAACTTATATTCACCCTTTCTTTTTTTAAATTAGTATGAATCTTTCATATGAAAGTGTTGATTTAACGCATGTTGCCTACATGGAAGAATTTGTCATTGTTAACAACATTATCATCCAAGATTCTCGAAATACTTACTAGTACTACGGCTTGATGTTCCCTTGGCCTCGCTCTGCCAGTATAGAGACCTGAAAACAATAAAACCTTGTTTACATTATTCAGAAAACGGGTGGTTTCTACAAAGACAAATTCAGAATCACATTTTCATTTTGAAGAGTTGACATGTGTGAATAAGTTGACCTGTGACCTCGAGATAAAGATATCAACACAATTTTGAAACCTTTTGATAGTGTCAGAGGCGCTCCTGAACTCTGTAACGCCCGATCTTTCCCTTTGCGAAAGTCCGCGCCAAATTTGGCATTGTCTTCCGCCAAATTATCCCCACGAGGTGTTATTAACAGTTCGATCTTTCTGATTACATCGATTTATCTTGGTCTACTTCCTGCGTTTCCTTTTCTGGTGATAATTCGTGAGTAGAAACAGGACGTCGATGAGTCACAGACAACTTTTTTGGGATGTTTTTGAGTTTGAGCTTGTGGTATAAGAGTCAAGGCACAAATGTAAATTCTTTCCTCTGTACGCCTAAAGTAGTCTAAGCTTGCAGAACTGTTAAATACTTAACTTTCGGGATTAAAATTTAGAAATCTCAATTATTAAAAATTCAATCTACATGCATTATATTTACTCCTATCTTGTTGACTGGGAATACAAATAACCCAAAATGTTAAATGCTCAATGATGTGAACCTTCCAGCCTCTAGACATTTAACACTTCCATTTTACACCCTTCAAGAAACCCACCATCCGAAAGAAAATCAAATCGTAATCAAATGAGAAAGATGTACCAAAATGCAAACCAAAACCAAAACCAGTTTTTTATATGTGGGAACATCCTGGAGCAGTTTTATAGGTAACAATGATCTTAATTTTATAATCCCCTGGGCTATAAAATATACAAAGCACTAAAAGAATTTGTGTAGCATATTTTTTGTCTTCCTGTGGCGTCTCGTCTAACGATCTCAAGGCCGACCAAGGACGTTTGAAGTCGTAAAATGCAAGACAATTACAGTTTTATGACTCTTCTGTTCGAGATCGGTAGTTTATACGTCCATTTAGCCATTATGGACTATCCAAAGACTGACAATTACAGTATTAATTACATTTTAACCAGCTCCTACTTGGATAACTCTGTGTTCTTCGCATATTTTTTCAACGCTTTCCGCAATTTGCAAATACCTGTGCGGTTCAATAGTATTAGCTTGCGTCTAAGGTGTTTGAGGAATTTAACTTTTTTTACATTGATGGTTGGCATTTCTCATATACGTATAAAAGAGTCCTTGAAAACATATGGCATCAGGATCCGTGTGGTCTAAAGCGGTTCAAACTATTTCATATTCACGCGTTGCTTTGGAGGATGGATGTATACTAACTTTGTCGAGCTTTGTTTTTACACAGTTTAGATTAAATAATTTATATTAATTAGCTGAATGTTTTCTACACTTAACCGTTTTGTGTTTAATTTGTTTCCTTAGGTTAGTTCGTTAAGACGAGCTTATTAGTTTTAGTAACTTTGTCGAGCTTTGTTTTTACACAGTTTAGATTAAATAATTTATATTAATTAGCTGAATGTTTTCTACACTTAACCGTTTTGTGTTTAATTTGTTTCCTTAGGTTAGTTCGTTAAGACGAGCTTATTAGTTTTAGTACGGAATTCTTTATCTAAATTGGATTTTGTTTGTAATTAGACATTTTTCATTAGTACTGTACTGTAACTTAAGTACAGTTTTGGTAATAAAGTACCATAACTTTGTTACTTGATTTTTCCTCGTGGAGAAAATTTGTGAAATTTCAAATTTCTACAGGCAATTACACTCTTTACACATTATTCCTCTTGTGAGAGTGGTTTGAGAAATCAAGCGACAAATGTGTACTTAACAGAAACTGAGCGATCACAAACCCTTTAACTACAGGCGCCTCGGGCTTATCAGCATCATGAGATATAATTAAAGAAACGAGCGGTTGTAGAAATTACTGCGTGAGGAAGATAGAGGCTTTCACGTAGAAAGGATAAAACACCATCGGCTTATAATACTACTGTGGAAATCGGCACTTGTTTCACATGTATTTTGGAATTTCACACTGTGGATGTTTGGAGATCGCGTCTTTGAACCATTGAACACAGAATAAACATGTTTTTTAATCTGTTCCCTGCGTTGATCCAACCAAGACAAACAAGTTGACAAACAATCGAGTTATCATTTTTTTCTACATTCGGTTATGCAATTTAATATGACTACCATACTGAGATCTGTTAAATAACAAATAATAAACAATGTAAACAAATAATAAACCCTGTATAATTTACGACCAGTATTTTAGACAATAAAACAAAGACCATGTATCTAAATTCTCCCTTGAACGTAAAAGCTTACTTTAATATGATTTTTGTATTGAAAAATTAAAGACGTAGGAAGAAAGTTATCTGGAATTAAATATGAAAATATTCATGCAAACTTCGTAAATTACTTTGAAATCTACATTTCATGAAGATTTGGCTGCCAACTACTTATGGGACAATATCGATTATATATTTTAAATAAATCAATTTAGTGATGAACATGTTCGTCAATAATTATACCTTCAACTGTTTAAGCATACGGGATAATTCGCTTATAGGTAGTTTCCCGTGCTGCAAACCAAACAAAAGTGAAATAACCTTCAATTATCAGAAGACGAACAGACAAAACCAGATAATCAACTTCACTTGAACCTTCATTAACCAAAGTATGATGTTCGCTTGTGTTGTTCGTTACATCAGCAAAATAATTTTAGACCACGCATTTGCCTATTGATGCAACCTTGGGGAACTAAATTACAGAATCTTGTCACGACAAACGTGTGCAAGAATTCTCAATGTGGACAAAAAAGAACATTTTTGGAAAAGAAATAACTCATCAATTTTCCAATTTGAAAGCACATCTCTCTAACAAAGGATCATCAAAGATATCTAAATATATATCCTCAAGGACATGTCGATGTAATCAATAATCATACGAGCTACTAAAAGACTCTTTTCATTGATCAAAACAAATCACAACTTCATACACCAATGAGATGAGATGTGACAATAATGTTTCTTTAGAAGTCTCTATCTTTGACCAAAAAGAGTAAAATACAAGTGATTCCCATGTTAACGTTATAGCTAGTTTTAGAATGGACATTGATGATGTGGAATTTAGCTACGCACTGACTGTGCTGCTATCAACTGACTACTGATTTCTTACGTATTCACCGACGTTTGAATAAAGTCAAAACTAAAACGAGAACATATTGTAAACTATAGCTTCTTTTATGAAGTAATTTTTTCTGGGACGCTAGGCACGAGCCCGGGATTGTTTTTCACATTACTCCATTCTCATTTGCCTTGATTAAGTCATACAAATTATTAAAGTATAAAAAGTTGAGATTGGAAATATAATTTTTACCGCAGGACACTCTTTCAGTGATTCATTAAAATTATGTTCTCTTTCAATAACATCAAACATCAAATGCCTTCTTCAGTATATAACGGTTTAATCCAACTCTACAAAATCGGTATGACAATTCAAACTTTTGTTCCAACGACCCAAACCTAATGCAAAACTGTAACAACTTCCGATCGCGAAAACAAAAAGACAACGCGACCTTGGGGCACCCCATTCGCAAGCGGTGTCGCCTCATCAAATACGTGCCGTAGCAAACCAACAGCTCGGCGGTCGTTGACGGCGCAATTAACCGCTGATGAAACGGAAAGCGTGCATCAGCCGTCATTAGCGGCTCGCAACGGAAGACGTGAAGACGAGCGGCGGGCGGCGGCGAAACGTCCTTGCCAAGGCCGCCCGGTCGCCCATTGATCAATATTTATCGGGTGGTCGACCCGTGTGTTTATGCTACAGCCATTACACTCTGCAGGTGGCGTTAGATGCGTCTGACAACGGCGGTAAATCATAGAGATTGCAGTTTTTGCACTGCTTATGTTTACGATAATGGAGTTACCTCCTCTTTGTATAGGTGTTGATTCTAGTTCGGGTAGGCCTTTGTGTGTAATATGTTTTATCGTTTCTGTTTTTATTTTAGCATTGTGTGGGATTAAGTTTCAGTTTACGATAAGGGCAGCTTTAAAAAAAGTTGAACGTGGTAAAGCTACAATATTCTTTTAGTCAACGCCTGCAGTCTACAGACAATTGACAATCATGTAAAGATTTTGAATTTTTTCCGTTCTTGGCATTCTGTGGTAGTTAAAATTATTTTAATTACTTAGCCTACAGCTTTCAGTTCAAAAAATGCTACTTATCAGGCATATTCATGTGAAAATGTCCTTTAAAATGTAAGAATTTGGAGTAGACGTGTGGATATAGTGCCCACCCTTCAAATGTGGATGTTTCAGGATCAATTCTGAACCCAGATGGCATTTTTCATTGGGCCAGCAATTGATGTTGCTGCATAACTAATGTAAAAAGTTCCATTGGCGTGGAGATTCACCGAAGCAAAACAATAACAATTCCCAATCTTTACATTCTATGAAACGTCTAAAAGGGATACATTACTTTCCTTCTTGACTCACGAACCTCCTCCCGAAAAGGATATCCACAATTAGGTCCAAGAGAAACCAGTTTATCTGTGAAGATCGAACTTTTAATAACACCTTACTGGGAGAAATTGGCGGAAGACAATACCAAAATCGGCGCAGACTTTCGCGCAGGGATCGTGGGCTGCAGAACGAAGCTGCAAACATGATCGTGAGGGTTGTAACCGGCTGTTAGTGATAACGTTATCTCAAGGTCAAGGGTCAAGTCGGCCACACATCTCGGCTCATCAACATGCAAAACGTGCGTCTGTGTTTGACTTTGCAAAACCGCCGTGCGATTAAGTCTGTTCGGAATGCAGATTTTCTTTTCAAAGAATATATTATTGGAAACGTTTAATTGTGGGTTCAAGGTTGAAGACTCCACTTGGGTTTGGAGTCGTGATTGAATGTTTTTCAGTTGATAAAACTGGATATAGCCAGCAACAGGACCGTCAGGACTCAGGAGTTTCTTCTGTCGATGTGCATAAGGTCTTTGATCTAGTGGAT